TGCAACTGGGATTGTAGAGTAGACCAAAAATGTGCCGGCCATTGTAGAATAGGCAAGTAATGCATAGGAGGTTATAGAGTAGGCAAATAATGCATAGGAGGTTATAGAGTAGGCAAATAATGCATAGGAGGTTATAGAGTAGGTAAGTAATGCATAGGAGGTTATAGAGTAGGCAAATAATGCATAGGAGGTTATAGAGTAGGCAAGTAATTCATAGCAGGTTATAGAGTAGGAAAATAATGCATAGGAGGTTATAGAGTAGGAAAATAATGCATAGGAGGTTATAGAGTAGGCAAGTAATGCATAGCAGGTTATAGAGTAGGCAAATAATGCATAGGAGGTTATAGAGTAGGCAAGTAATGCATAGGAGGTTATAGAGTAGGCAAGTAATGCATAGGAGGTTATAGAGTAGGCAAATAATGCATAGGAGGTTATAGAGTAGGAAAATAATGCATAGGAGGTTATAGAGTAGTCAAGTAATGCATAGGAGGTTATAGAGTAGGCAAGTAATTCATAGGAGGTTATAGAGTAGTCAAGTAATGCATAGGAGGTTATAGAGTAGGCAAGTAATGCATAGGAGGTTATAGAGTAGGCAAATAATGCATAGGAGGTTATAGAGTAGGCAAGTAATGCATAGGAGGTTATAGAGTAGGCAAGTAATGCAGAGGAGCTAATAGAGTAGGCAAATAATGCATAGGAGGTTATAGAGTAGGCAAATAATGCATAGGAGGTTATAGAGTAGTCAAGTAATGCAGAGGAGCTAATAGAGTAGGCATATAATGCAACAGAGCTCGTAGAGTAGACAAATAACAAATTGGAGGTTGTAGAGTAGGCAAATATTTGATTAGAGTTTGTAATGTACGTATATAAGTTTTTAGAATGCGCAACTAATGCATCGGTGGTTGTATTGTAGACAAATAAGACATTTTATAGTAGGAAAATAATGCATCAGAGGTTGTAGAACAGGCAAATAATGCAACAGAGTTCGTAGGTAAATAACAGATCGGATGTTGTATAGTAGACAAATATTGCACAAGATGTTGTAAAGAAGACAATGCAGCAGAGGTTGTAGAGTAGACAAATAATGCATCGGTGTTAGTAGAGCAGGCAAATAATGCATCAGATTTTGTAGAATAGACAAGTCATCTACCAGAGGTTGTAGATGTGGAGTAAATAGTACACATACTATGACTATTGGAACTCGTTCATTATAATAAAGTGCTGTAGATCAGGGGTAAGAGTGGGAGACATCCCAGCCCAAGCAGTGAACTGCCTGGGTTGCGACTGACAAGACTTCTGCCTTCGGTCATAGGGTGACGCAGTCGAGTCTCAGATACAGGTTCGGTTGAGAAAAACACAAGTAATGTACCCGAGCCAACTTTTGTTGAGGTTGGGTAAATTTTTGGCCATTGAACCGAGTGGACATGATCGGGTTCTCTAGAGTAATCCTGACCTGGTGTCACGTCTTAACACATTAGGGGAGGCAAAGGTAAATATCTAGTTGCTTCAATCCAGGCAGTTCGCTGCCTGACTCGTGACTGACTTCGGGCAGAAGATCACTCGGTCAAGGATCTGTCTACGTATAGAGACTTGACTGAATATCACAGACAAGCACTTGTTCTCCATGGTTGCTGGGGATGGTAAGTGTACACGCTCGGGATCCCGCACATTAAATCTGAACTTGTGTCACATCTCGTCTTAATGGGGAGGCGTGTGCAAATACCTAACTCTTTCGAGTCAGGCATTTTCGCGCCTGGCTTGCGACTGACAAGACCCTCTGTCATCGGGCGAAGGGAGACTCAGTCGGTGGTCTATTTACGGATAGAGACTCGACTGAGTAGAACAGACAAGAACCCGTTCCCCGCGCTTGCTGGGAATGGTAGATTTTGAACCAGCGTCTCGAGGGTACGCGCTCGGGCTCCCTACTTTATACCTAACATTGTTTCGTATCTAGCTGTTTCGAGTCAGGCATTTCCCTGTCTGGCTTGCGACTGACAAGACCTCTGTCATCGGGTGAAGGGTGACTCAGTCGGGGGTCTGTTTATGGATAGAGACTTGGCTGCGTAGAACAGACAAGCAATGTACCCGTTCCCCGTGGTTGCAGGGAATGGGTAATTTTTTGTCCAGCGGCCCTAGTGTATTTCACTCAGAGCGCCCACTAATAATTTCTATCATATATAGGGTGATTGAAAACTCTCTATTTTATGTATGATGGACTCTCCGGTCTAACTATAAGTTTTACAAGACAGGAGAGTCCATCATACATAAAATAGGGAGTTACTTTTCAGTTACCCTTTATATATAATCACAACTGCTATGTTTACTTATGCGTTCCTATTAGTAAAATGACTAACGATGCATATTTATAGTAAAATTACCAATAATACATATTCATACTGAAATGACCAACAATAGATATTTTTGGTAAAATGTCCGGCAATAAATTTTATCTCCAGTTGAATGCATATAATTGAGTTCAAAATATATACAGTTGAAGTCATAAAATTGTGTTCAAAATATTCAGATTCCGGCATTAAATAACCCATAGAGGTGTTGATACGCCTCTATACAAAATGAACATCAATACATATCTGTAGTTGAAGGCACACAATTGCGTTCAAAATATATTTAGTTGAAGCCATAAAATTGACTTCAAAATATTTAAATTTCAGCATTAAATAACCCATAGTGGTGTTGATATTCCACTGAATAAAATAAACCAACAAATAATACGTATTTATGGTAGAATTACCAATAATACATATTTAAAGCAAAATGATCAAGAATATCTGTGGTTGAAGGCATAGAGTTACGTTAGAAATATATTTAGTTGAAGCCATAAAACTGGGTTTAAAATATGAAAATCAACCAACTAACTACTTACGACCTGGACGAAAGAAAAATCTCGATTTAGCTGTGAAAACGTTGATTTGCATAATAAAATATGACAGTGTGTGACTACACACTGGAGCTAAACCTTTATTTGACTTGCTTTCATTAACTCCACTTTGTCTTTTTCGATCTAATTCATCCCGCAATAGAATTTTTTACTCGGTTTCTTCCGGCAAAAGTTTTTGCTTCTTTCAGTGCAACTTTAAAAAATTTTTTTTTTTTTGTCTTCAGACCTTCTTACTCGTGGATGTTGCTACATTTTAAATGTCATCAAAAAATAAACGACTATTATTTGTTTAGATACATATAACCGCCACGTTGTGACATTTAATTATTTTTGTAGCAATTCTAGGCGAAAAAGAAATAATATGATATATCGTCAGGAAAGCGGAAGA